CTTGTCCTATGTCTTTTATTTTTGTGTCGTTTATTCTTTCCACTCTTAGCCTATGCCTGACAAGGACAGAGTTCTAATACCAGCTCTCTTTGTACATGTAAAATATCAAGTCTGTTGATTTTTGCCTTTTTTTTTCCCCCCTGCTCTTCTAGTCTGTTGATGTTGACTGGCCTCCAGCCCTGGATAATTAACTTTTCAAGTTGGGACGAGGAAGAAGCAGCTCCCCTATCAGCAGCTGGTTACCGAGCACTGCACAGTATTGCAGCTTGGTTGCAAAGTATTTCTGTTAATGTTTGGATCATGTTGATCCACCAAAGGATACTGATACTTGAATAAACTTTAAATACTCTGGAACAGGTAGTGTCCCTTCAATTTGTAGTCTTCTTTTAAGTTCTTCTGTGCATAAAGAAATTTTGGTATTGACTCTAAGTCTTTTTTAAAAAGAACTATTAGGGAACACATAAATGATGTAAAGTGCAAATGGTGTACCGAGCAAGTACATCAAATATGTTTTCTGCAGTAGTTTAAAATTTTGTAATTAAACCTAACTTTTTCTGGGCATGCAGGAAATCCCAGAAGTCAGGGAGATCCTGAAGCCAGTAGGATAGTGCCTGGAAAAAGGCAATTCTCCACTCTCTGCTCACTGCTTTCTATTGTCAGTTTTCAAGACGGGTAAATATGTCTCCCAGCCAAAGTACTTTTCAAAGGGAAAAAGTTTTCAGAGGAAAACTTGAAGTACAAGTTTTTCTCATTTAAAAATATCAGCCATGCTTCCTAGAAACTACAGCTGAAGCCAGTTGAGCTCTCTGGCTTGGTTACAGTCCACTTCAGGCATAGGATTTCCCCAGTTGAGTCACTGCATAAAAAGATTTGGAACTTCTGGCAGTGGTGCATGATGGAAATCTGAAGAACAATAGGAATACCAACAACTTCAAAGTGCAGGCAAATAGAAAATGTTCCGAAGCATGTTGTTGTTGAGAGACTAAGAGATAAAAAGCTTTGGTTTGTAGCATTAAAACATGTTTTGTAATACTGAGCCCTGGATGGATGCCTGGAAGAGTTGAACATTGCCTAGGAACTTCCCTGGAATAGAGAACACCCGAGTTTCTCTCTTTGCTCCAGTGATTTAAAATGTTTCATACAAAGCATCCCCCTGCATCTTTAGGAAGAGCCACTTCTATGCCTCTGTTGTGTTAGTCCATTAGGAAGATGCTTCTGCTTACTTGAAGTATAGAAAAGAGTTAAACTATTAACTGAGATGTCTTACCTTAATTTCAGTAGTGCCAGGACCTTATCATAGAATAGCTGTGTGACAGCTTCAGCTGAAGTCTCAAAAAGGCATTAATAAATACATCTTTAAAAAGAGGTCCTAAAAACTGATCTTGAAAAATTAGTCTAACTGTTATGCACACTGCCTGTGACGAGCTGCCAAAACTTGTCTCATCAGTTGTTTTCCTACTCCACTGTAACATTAAGTATGGCAATAGTTCAGAAGCTCCTGTTTTTTCTGACATAAGAATAATAGGAACATGATTCAGACAGCAGTTTATTTTTTTTTTAATCTGAAAGCTGTTATGAGCAACAGATTCCAGGAGTAGTCGTCTCAGATAATAATCTGTACCCAGGAAGGAAGTGTTGTGAATGATGGAAAACTTAAGACACTGAATTCAGAAAACAAACAAAAGAGAATTTCAGTCTTGTATTGATGTGATTTCTTGAAACTCAAAAGCAAGCTAAAATATGATTTATAAATTCCATAAACTACAAGGTAAAAAAATGTAAAGAAGACAGCAGTATGGACATGCCAGGCACGAGAGGAGCTGTTCCAAGGGGCAAGTAGAGCTAAGGAAGCAGAGTCAGAGAGAGCTCCTGCCAGAGTACAAAGACACTCAAGATTCTCCTGTCCCCAGCTCTTTCTGCATTCTGCTCTACATTATCACGGTGATGGTGGAGAGCACGTTACGAGTTGAAGTGCAGCTAAACAAGGCTACAAGGATTAGACAAAATGTGCCAAGTCTAATTTCTTCTCCATACAATGTAGAGAGGTCCACAAAAAAAGTCCCAAATCACTTATTTTTATCATAAATGTGAAGTATTCAAGTGAGGAGGAAAAAATTATGATTGTTGCTGATGTTGCAACTATCTCTACAGCTCTTTAGCTCGGTATTGTTCAGTGATCATGTGAAAATTTGAAAGTGAGAGATGTAAACTGGTTTCTTGAACTCTGTTTAAAGTCTGCAGTTTCTCATACAAGGTAAACACTTTGAACTATCGTAATCTGTAATTAATATTGCAGCAATAGTAACATTGTACTTCAGCCTTCACCTTATATTTAAAAGGAAAATACCTGCTTCTGAGTACACAAATAGGATGGTTTGTGAGAATAAGATTTAATCTCATTCACGAGGTCTGTGTGAAAAAAGTACATAATTTCTAGCATGTTATGTGAAAAATACCAAAAAATATGGTTGCGTTCATTAGCATCATCCTTCTTTGCACTGGAAGGACTCAAAATAAGGCCATGGTATTTCTCTAAACCATTGGTCACCTGTAATTTGTCCCCTCTGACTCAATAGGCAATTGCTCTGCCACAAAAAATTGCTGTGTGCAGGTGAACCCCTACTGCACACGTTGCTTCAGGTTTTGTGGTGCCCCACAGTAATTGAGCAGAAAATACTGTAAAAAGCCCCCAGAGAAGAACTCATATCCTACCTTCTCCCATTTATCTGGCTTTCCTGCAGTGAGGGACATCAGGATTCTGAGAAGGTTGCAGAAGCTGAGTACTTAGTATAACCAGTTTTTTTAATTACCAAACGAACTTGTTTACAAAGGAAAACAGAACTTTGAAAATATTTAATTATATAGTAAAAACAAATTGTACTATAAAGAGCTTTCTATTAAGTGAGTAAAATGTTTACATTTAATATACTGAAAATTGAGAACTTCAAAAAAAAGAACTGAATGAACAACACATTTCAAGCTTTCTTTGTATTTCTTTCGTTCTTCTATTACTTAAGATTGCAGAGGAGCTACACAGAAGTGAGGAAAAACCACTTTAAAATGGTGGGAGTCAATTCAATGCACTGTGTACTTGGAGTGAGGTGAAGCAGTTTTCCAAACTTCAAATATCCTAGATCCTACACGCTGCTGAAGGTAACTCATGTAATGCACGAGAGCAGCACCACCTTATTGCTTTGAACCCTATTAATTACTGCAGTTAGAAAGTCATTGCTTTCCTACGAACCACGGAGGTTTGTTGGAGCTCCTTTCCACCTTCCATACAACTACACATCTCACGTGGCTTTTTTTTGATTTGGGGTTGTGCTTTTTTTGTTTTTTATGTATACAAGTATGTTATTTTTTTGCTTCTTTCCGTGGTGCAGTTTTATGTTGGCTAACAGTAATGGTTAGATTCTTAAGCCTTATCTGCTATACAAACCAGCTGTATAACTTAAGAAATACTCATCTATTTCTTGCTGTGTTGCTTCTTAAAAAATAATAATCATAAAATAGCAAAGCCCTATAACGCAAAGTGTCTTACCCAGCCAGTTACATCCATATGAGCTGTCACTAGGGAGGTTTTTGTTGTGAGCTGTCACAGGGGAGGTTTAGATTGGATATTAGAAGGAACTTCTCCACTGAAGGGGTAATTAAACACTGGAATAGGCTGCCCAGAGAGATGGTAGAACCACCATCCCTGGAGGCATTTAAAAGCTGTGTAAATGTGGTGCTCAGGGACACGATTTAAGGACTGGACTTGGTAATGGTTGGTAGAGTTAGGTTATGGTTGGACTCGATGATCTTAAAGGTCGTTTCCAACCAGAAGGATTCTGTGATTCTGTGAATATCTTGCAACTCAGGCTAAGAATGAAGACTGGGAAGCAAGTGGAAGGAAGTTCTGGTTTCTGGTACAGATTATAGCAGGCTATTTTTAATTAGTACTGGCTGAAAAGGCCTTATGTCATTAATAGCGTGCATCTAAATTAGTCTGTGCTAAAACTGCCTCCAGGTTTGCCCCAAAGCTCTCTTGGGAGGGGGCAATGGGGAGGCAAGATCTGAGCCACCTTTTGAGCAGTCACTTGCATAGCAGGAAACTGCTGGGATACCTGAGGAGAGAGGGTGGGAAGATGCTTCGGCTCAGCATATTTCTGCTGCTCAAAATCACATACACATCACAGCTACATACACAAAAAACCCCCAACTTTCAGAGAAATAACAGTGTGCTCCATTCCTAAAGCAACAGGGGTTTGTCATTTAAAATAGTGCACTTGGGATGCAGTGCAGAGAAGTCCTCACTTTCTGTTCATCCTTTTGTGCAGTGATTCATGTACAACAGAGCTGGACTATTTAAAAACTCAAACCTTCCGGTCTTTTAAAATACATCTAACAATGACATAGTCATTAAAAAAATTTTAGAGTAAATTTGCTTTCAAAGCAAATGGAGTGTGGTAAAAATGTGGAAAATCGATGCGTGGTCTTGTTTTAGGAGAATATTTTATACGAAAGAAGGTAAGAAACCTAAACCTTTCAAGTAAGTGGAGTAAAACTTTAACATTGTTAAGTGCATCTGAACTAGAGTGCCCAAGTGCCGGGATTTTTTCCTAATTTCTGTCCTATCAAATTTAATTTCCATAGCAAAAATAGTTATTTTTCAAACAAGTTTAAACCTGTGAAGTATTTGAAATTTTAACCCTTCTGAAGATGCCAGCATTTACAGTCCTCACAGGTAAGGAAGATTTAAGTGTTAGCAGTTCCCTTTTCCAACAGCGGAAAAATATGCACACAATGTACTTTTAAGGTATAGAACCCTAAACCCTACTCCCACCTCTCTTCTTTATGGGCACCAGTCTTTGGGCTGTAATATATAACCTGAAGTTATAAGGTGAAACTTGTATAGTGACATTCAGAAAGAGAAAGAAGGGACTCCAGAAGGGTAAGTTCCTCCTCTTCACACAGCTTAAAAAGCGCTACGTACCTGCGGCCAGCCCAACACCGCTGGCTCAGTGGTTATAGTTTTGTAAAATGCTATCCAGCTGCAGAGACTGATAGAGATCATCAGTGTGGACACCATCGGTGTCATAGAACTGGTTATCTGCAATGCTATTTGGATGGGTTGGGATGGGGTTGGTGGATAGTCTCGATTGGCTTAAAACTTCTTGGTCTAAATAACCGTAAACTGTCGGATCAGCTAAATTAGGCTGCAGGTTGAAAGGCGTGCTGCTCAGGGCTGCAAAGGACGGGCAAGATGCAGGCAGCTGCTGGAGCTGCTGCCTGGGATTGCTCGTGTTTAACACTGGATTAAACTTCTCAAAGTTGATACTGGTGCAGTTCATGTCATCAGTCTCCATGCTGGTGGTTTGCACCTGGTGCCCGATGCTGTTATTAGGCATGCTCCTCCCATCTGCAGTTGACACCACTCCCACCTCGTTGGCAGTGCCGAAATTCTGGTAGAAGCCTGAATCTTTCTCATCAGGCCAGGTCAGAGGGTTGTCATGGAAAGCTGGGAGAGAGCTGCTGCCCTGGGTAACATTGGACTGCGACATGTCTGCCCCAAAGCTGTTCTGCGGGTGGGTGCCCAGCAGACTGCTGGCAGAGGGAGAGGGGCTGAACATCTGCTGCCAGCTTGAGGAGAGTGAGTCCGGCTTCCCTGGCCTCCCTGGTGCTGCCTGGATCTGGTTGCAGAGAGGGTAGGTCTGACTGGTGTTGGTTAGAAACCCTGGCATCATCAGTGGGGATGAAAACATTTTCGGTTCTGTGGAAAGGAAAGATGAGACTGCATTTTAATGCTGTTTTTGAATATTATTTTTCAATTGCAAACTGTCAAATGCAAAGCAGAAATGGTGCTATTTTATTAAGATTATATGTGCATTTGCACTTGCTAAACTGCTCCCCAGGATGGACCCTGAATTTCTGGACAGCAGCAAGACAGCTGTCCACCCCTACAGCAAATGCTGAACGTGAAAGCTACATTTAAGTATAAACCTGATTGCTTTCATTTGTACAGTCAAAAGTACTGGTACCTTTCAGGAAGAAACCCTGGAGAGAATATTAGAATTTCAAGCAAAGAGGAGGGAAGGCCAAGGAACCAAGCAAAGGTTTGAAGGGCTGAGTATTGGAAAACAGAGGAAAACCAGTAGTTCTCTAAATTAAGGCTGAAAGCAGGCAATGCTTAAAGATGAAGAAGGTGTAGCCCCCTCCTGTGCAAAGGGGGTGTTGCAGCATATCTGAGGCTTTGAGAAGCATCTGGAGGAAAAGGAAGAAGAAAAGCTGCCTTGGGAACTTCAGTGCGCCCTGAAAAATGCCATTAACTGTTTCAAACAGCTGTCGGGTTGGGACTTGCATGCAAAAAACCCCTACCTTTCTTAATCGGCTTCCCTTCAGGAGCAGGGAATGGAGGTACTTTGGGCCTCTCTGTTGCATTTGATCCTGCAACAGAAACAAGCATGAGTCTACATATACTGAATGTTTGCTTTTATAGAAAGTAACTCCATCTAAATGCAAGCCTGCTCAAGCAAGAAAAAGACAAATATTTTCCTTACCACAGTCCTGTATGAGCTTTTGCCAAGCCAATGTTGATCTTTGCCTTTTTGCTTTGTTTCCATATGGATCTACAGAGAAAGGTATGGAAGAGAAAAGTGTTACATTTCTCTTTGATATAATTAGTAAAGAAAGTTTCTAAAACTTCTACTAGTGGCCCCTAATTGTAGCAAAATATATTTAAAGGAAAGTATTTCAGATGTGACAGCACTAACAAAGACAATGTCATTAACGGTGATTCTTGATGTTTTCATTGAAAGAGGGATCAAACTGACCTGTTACTTTTTAAAAACACAAATTATTTTGTAGAAGCCGTGTTGTAGAATTTTTACCACTTAAACTGCTGTTTTGTTATCAACACGAGTCCTGCACTAATAATGGCTTTTCAAAAACTCAGCTAATTGGAGCCATACCCTTTTCATCTGGTAGGTATCGGAAATCCATAGGTTCACTGACTTCCTGGTCTGAAGGTCTTCTCAGCTGCATCTTCACCGTGACGGGCTCAGTGATGTCTCTCTGAAATGGTGGTGTTCTGAACACAATTGCAACTTGGCGGTGAACATCAGCTTGTGAGAAGGAACCTTTAGCCTCCCAGTTGTCCAAGACAAATCTGACTTCGATATCATCTAGTCCATTAGAAACAGAAGATGCTTATTAAGCTGAAGAAGAAAACTGAGAACTTGCAGCAGAAAAAAGGGGGAGGGGGAACAAAGAAAGGACTTGGACTCAAAATTGAGATGGAAAGCAAGTGGTTCCACCTTAAAAGTACTGAGTATCTTTCAGAGGTGCTGAGACCTCTTGAACCTGAGAGCTGTTCTGCCCAGCTCTCAAACCAGATCACTTACACAGGAGTGTGGTGAAAGGCTTTAGTTCCCCAGCTATAAAGTGGTAGTGTCCACCATCTGGGGCAAAGGGAAATTAAAAACAAGTCACGGTTACCTTTCTGGACTTTGTCACACAGCAGAAATATTTCATCTCCTCCTTTTACACTTCCACAGTTCTTGTTCACACGACAAATTCTCAATTCTGCCGTGTTGGGGGCTCCTGGAAAGGAACAGGCAAATTTTATGAGAAAGACTTACTGTAAATGTGTCACTATTGATGACGAGTTGCTGGAAGCTAAGGCATGAGAAAGGAAGACAACAGCTGGAGGAGTGTGACACCCCAAAATCCACACTAAACAAGTCACTCCATACAGGAAATTCAGAAGTAAGGCTTGATGTTCTATCATCCTATAGCTCTTGGCTGCTCATCTCCAAACACAACATACCAGTGCAGCTCTGCCACCGAATCACAGAATCGTTAAGGTCAGAAAGGATCTGTAAGATCACCAAGTCCAATTGTCAACACAAAAAACCCCCACAACCTTGGGCACTAGAGCATGTCCTGAAGTACCAAATCTACACGGCTTTTGAATACCCCCAGGGATGGTGACTCAACCACCTCCCTGGGCAGGCTGTTCCAGTGCCTGACCACTCTTTCAGTATAGAAATTCTTCCTAATACCTAATCTAAACCTCCCCTCATGCAACTCCAGGCCATTTCCTCTGGCCTTGTCATTATTCACCTGGGAGAAGAGGCTGGCACCCATCTCCCTACAACCTCCTTTCAAGTAATTGTAGAGGGCAATGAGGTCTCCCCTCAGCCTCCTCTCCAGACTGAACATCCCTAGTTTCCTCAGCCTGTCCTCTTATGACTTGTTCTCTAGACCCTTCAGCAGCTTGGTAGCTCTCCCCTGGACACACTCCAGCACCTTGATGTCCTTCTTATAGTGAGGGCCCAGAACTGCACACAGCACTCAAGATGCAGCTTCACGAGTGCCAAGTACAGGGGCACAAGCACCTCCCTACTCCTGCTGGCCACGCTATTCCTGATGCAGACCAGGAGGCTACCAGCCTTCTTGGCCACCTGGGCACACTGCTTTTCTCATGTTCATCTGGCTGTCAACCAGCACCCCCAGGTCCTTTTCCTCTGAGCAGCTCTCCAGCCACTCTTCCCCAAGCCTGTAGCATTGCCTGGGGTTGTGACCAAAATGCAGGACCTGGCTCTTGGCCTTGGCACATAAATCCAGCCTGTTCAGGTTCCTCTGCAGAGCCCTCCTAGCCTTGAGCAGATCAACACTCCCACCCAATTTGGTGCCATCTGCAAACTTACTGAGGGTGCACTCAATTCCCTCATGCAGATCATTTATAAAGATACTGAAGACAACTGGCCCCAGAACTGAGCCCTGAGGAGATACCACTGGTGACCAGCCACCAACTGGATTTGGCCCCATTTACCACAAGTCTCTGGGCCCAGCCATCCAGCCAGTTTTTTACCCAGTGAAGAGTAGATTTGTCTATGCCATGATCTGCTAGCCTCTCCAGGAGAATGCTGTGGGAGGCAGTGCCAAAGGCCTTACCAAAGTCCAGGCAGACAACATCCACAGCCTTCCCCTCATCCAACAGGTGGGTCACATGGTCACAGAAAGAGATCAGGTTGGCCAAGCAAGACCTCCCTTTCATAAAACCATGCTGGCTGGCCCTGATCCCCTGGCTGCCCTGCACTTGCCACAGGAGCTCACTTGAACCTTTCCATGATCTTCCCTGGTACCAAGGTCAGGCTGACAGACCTCTAGTTCCCCAGATTCTCTTTCCGGCCCTTCCTGTAGGTGGGTGTCACATTAACCAGTCTCCAGTCATCTGGGACCTCCCGTGTTGACTAGGACTGTTGATAAGTGATGGAGAGAGGCTTGGCAAGCTACCCAGACAGCTCCCTCAGCACTCTGGAGTGGATGTCATCCAGCCCCACAGACTTGTGTGTCCAGGTGCAGAAGCAGTTCATTAAATACTTCCTCCCAGATTGGGGTGGGGGTGGGGGGGCGTGTTGTTCTGCTCTCCATCCTTATCTTCTAGCTCAGGAGGCTGAACACCTTCAAGGAAGCTGGTCTGACTATTAAAGATGGAGGCAAAGAAGGCATTAAGCATCTCAGCCTTTTCCTCATCCTTGGTTGCAGTGCTCCCCCCCACATCCAGTAAAGGATGGAGATTCTCCCTGGCTCTTTTTTTATTGCTCACGTACTTAAAAACTTTTTTTTGGTTGTCCCCCTATAACAGTGGCCAAGTTGAACTCTAGCTGAGCTTTTGCCTTCCTAATTTTCTCCCTGTGTGACAACGAGATCTCCGTACTCCTCTTAAGTTGCCTATCCCTTCTTCCAAAGGTGGTAAACCCTCCTTTTTTTTCCTAAGTCCCAGCAAAAGCTGCTTGTTCAGCCAGACCAGCCATCTTCCCCACCCCTTGATCCTGCCACACATGGAGACAGCCTGCTCCTGGGCCTTTACCTTTTCTTCTTGAAGAGTGTCCAGCTTTCCTGGACCCCTTTGCCCTTCAGGACTGTCTCCCAAGGGACTCTCTCAACCAGTTTCCTGAACAGGCCAAAGTCTGTCCTCTGGAAGTCCATGGTGGAAGTTTTGCTAACCCCCTTCCTTACATCACTAAGAATTGAAAACTTCACTGTTTTGTGGCCACTAAGCCAAAGACAGTCTCCAACCACTGCATCTCCTACCACTCCTTCTCTGTTTGTGAACAGGAGGTCCATCAAGACACCTCCCTGCTAGGCTCACTTACCAGCTGTGTCAGGAAGTTATCTTCCACACACTCAAGGAACCTCCCAGCCTGCCTGCTCTCTGCTGTCTTTGTTTTATTTCCAGCAGATGTCTAGTAGCTTGAAGTCCCCAGCCAGAACAAGGGCTGGCAATAGTGAGACTTCAGCCAGTCACTTATAGAACACTTCATCTGCCTCCTTGTCCTGGCTGGGTGGTCTGTGACAGACTCCCAGCACAGTAACTGCCTTACTCACCTTCCCCTTCATCCCTACCCATAAACGCTCAACTCCATCATCACTATAGTCAAGCTCTATCAATCAAAACACTCCCTAATGTACAGAGCCACCCACTGCCTCTCCTTCCTTTCCTATCCCTTCTGAAGAGCTTCTATCCATCCACTGCAGCATTCCAGTCATGACAGTCATCCCACCATGCTTCCATGATGGCAACTAAGTCATAGCAAACCTGCTGCACAGTGGCTTCCATCTGCTCTTGTTTGCTGCCCATGCTACGTGCACTGATGTAGATGCACTTCAGTTGGGTTGATGACCCCACCCTCTCTTTGCAAGCAGAACTCCGATTTCCTAGCTAGCTGTTCTCGGGCACTTCCCCAGTAACTAACCAACCAGTGACCTATGCATTTTTTTAGCACATGAAGCTCCATGTTCTTCCTCTTTCAACTCCAGTTTAAAGTCACTTACTCCCTGATTCTAGAGTATTCTCAAAATACTTCCCCTGATGATGTTATTGTGCTCGGCCATGCTGCCCTTTGAGCTGTAGAATTAAAAGCAGTTCTTTGAAGGGCTGATTACCAGTTACAATCATGGTCCTCCAGAAAAAGCTGAGATAGCAAAATCAAGAATATTCCCCTCTCAGAGTATCAGACATATTTGGCCATCAAACCTCTCTATTTTTTTCTCCAGGTATTTGTGAACAGGTCTAAGAGTTTAACCTTCATGCGTTTCTCAGGGTAGCAGACTTCATCCTCAAATACTCAAAATTCAACTCCAAGCTGTGGCTGTACATGGGCAGCACTCATGATAGTTGCAATTTATTTAAAACAGCACTTGTACTGCAATATAGTGATGCAGAAGTAACAAAGAACAAAACAACAACAAAACTACAAAAGAGTGGAAGAACTCTCTAGAATTTCAAGTTCAGTTCCTGTGCCTATATGCTGTGTTTACACTTTTAAGTACATCAGATATACTTTAAAGTATGTATCAGAAGGGGACATTTGGAGTATTTTTGTGAAATGGGGAAACCTGGGAGGGGGAGGTAGGAAAAAATGAGGGAGAGCAGTACACAATGGCTATGGGATATTGGGATAAAGGAGGGACATAAGTGGGGCTGTGAGTTCAGAGCACTGCTGTCGTAACGGTCTGGGTCGGGGCAATCCCAGGCATAAATACAGGTTGGGTGGAGAATGGATCAAAAACAGTCCAGAGGAAAAGGACTTGGAGGTGATGTTGGATGAGAAGCTCAACGTGAGCTGGCAATGTGTGCTGGAGACCAGAAACCAACTGTGTCCTGGGTTGCATCAAAAGAAGCATGGACAGCAGGTCAAGGGAGGGGATTCTGCCCCTTTACTCGGTGCTCATGAGACCCCACTTGGAGTAGTGTGTCCAGTTCGGGAGCTCCCAACATAAGAAGGATACGGAGCTCCTGGAGAGTCCAGAGGGCCACAAAGATTATCAGAAGGCTGGAGCAGCTCTGCTCTGGAGACAGGCTGAGAGAGTTGGGGGTGTTCGGCCTGGAGAAGAGAAGGCTCCAAAGAGACCTCATAGTGGCCTTCCAGTACCTGAAAGGGCTACAGAAAAGCTGGGGAGGGACTTTTTACAATGGCTTGTAGTGACAGGACAAAGAGTAATGGATTAAAACTGGAATAGGGGAGATTTAGGTTAGATATTAGAAGGAAATTATTTAGTGTAAAGGTGGTGAGACACTGGAACAGGTTGCCCAGGGAAGTTGTGGAAGCCTCATCCCTGGAAGTGTTCAAAGTCACATTGGATGGGGCTTGGAGCAACCTGATCTAGTGGGAGGCATCCCTGTCCATGCAGGGGAGTTGGAACTAGATGATCTTTAATTCCCTTCCAAACCAAGCCATTCTATGACTCTATAATACATGAGCATATACCGATTTCAAAACCCTGTCTTCACTCAGTATATGAAGTAACTGATGCTAATTTCTCTGCTACTGTCTATGACCATGTTCATTGTTTACTGCACTCTCTTCCACCTCTCTAATCCCAAAAGAACAAAACTACACTGTGCCATGATGTTTTCTCATCTTCTTACATTAACTCCATATGTATTTAAAACCCCTGGGAGGACCTGGCTGGTGATGCTTTGTTACCCGAAAATGGAACCTTCTACCACCACAGCAACACAAGGCTCCACCACCAAGGGCTCCCTGATTCAGGCACTGAGAGGAAATACAAAACCAAAACTCATGGTATCACCCTCAAAAAGATAAATTAATAAATCATAGAATCACAGAATCTTAGGGGTTGGAAGGGACCTCGGAAGATGGTCTAGTCCAACCCCCCAGTGTATATACATATACATATATATATATATATTGTGTGTACATATATACACATACATGCTTTAGACTCTCTTTAGACTCTCTCTCTCTATATGTGTATACTTTAGACTCTCTGTTTGAGTCAATTCCTGCCCAGTCTTTCATGGTACTGCACAGGTATGCTGTAGCACAACACAGACTATGCTTAAAACAGAGCTCCTGGTAACCTGGGGCCAGACCCAATTACATAGTTACTATCTGCAGCTATTACTATTATTATTATTAATAGGAGAAGCGGGTGCCTCATTTACTACATGACACATGCCACTTCACTTGCTAAATGAATCAGAAACTTTGAAGAGAGAGGAAACAAAACAAACCCAGAAACAGCACAGGATCATATGATTGACAGTGTCATTGTGCGTTTTTCACAGGAAGGGTAAATTAAGAATTGTAATGAGAAGCCTAATTTTACCTTTGTTTCACTTCTCTGTGCTTGAATGGCACTCCATGGCCTTTTAACAGGTTTTTGGGAGGGTCTCCTAGCCCAGAGCTTGTTGGCTTGCCTTTTATTTTAAGGCAAATTTAGAAGGGAGGATGAAGGTAAGAAACACAAATGCCAGCAGACCCACACTCTCCTGTCAGCCCCTCGCCACAACTCCTGCCCAATTCCTGTTGATTCTCACTCTCCAGAAGCACATCCCTGGTAACAAATCCCTAGGAAAACGAGCTTCTACCCCAAATCATATCCCTTTCAACAAGGGCAAAACAACGTTTCCCCTAACCTCATTTCTCAGAAATGGTGAGCTGCTCTGACTCTTCCCAAGAGTTTTCAGCATGGTATGATTCACAACGTGGGAAATTTCTGTACAAAACAGTTAATGTTATAAGCAACTGAAAACAGAAACTGCCTGGAATACTGAATTTTATCAACTTGAGGTCTCTGCTAATGTGATTACCCACATATTATGTTCATATTATTGTTGTGTATTTCTGTTCTCCAAAGCAGGTAGAGACTACAAAGTATTAGAAAGTAAAGAAGAAACTAGATTTAAAATGTGCAAGCTGATCTTCAGAAAAGCTCTGAATAATTTTATTGCTCCTGATCTGGACAGTTCTGCGAAAGCTTGAAATCAAAACAACCTAGGATCTCCAATTGTACTTTACAATTTTATCTTTTATCTGAAGTCATCACCTGACCTTACCCAGTTCTGTCTGATAGAGCAGGTTTAAAAAGGCTAAGATTTAAAAAAGAAATTCAGATCTGAAACCACTGTTCCAGACAAGAGCAGCATAATTTTTTACAATTTGTGGTTACAGTTATGCACCGGTTTATTTACACCGCTGCTACGTTACACGGAGGATTTGAGATACCTACAGTATATCAGGAGCTGCCCACATGCACCCACACTGAAAAGCCAAGCTTACCCACACACAGCTATCTGTCATTTCAGCAGCTTAGCAAAGACTGACGTCAATCAAAGGAGATGAGTAATCATGATTTGGCACATTTCTAAATGGCATCTGAGACATAGCTGCAAATCTTGTACATCAGTTTTATCTCAACCCTCATTACTCTAGTACTATAAGGGCTCTCAGTAAGCCCATGCACACAGCTCCAAATTCTAGATAATTCTGGAAGAGGCTCTAAAAATATCAAAACCACCCAAGTTAATATTCAACATTTTCATAGCAGTTATGGCCACAATAACACAATTCTAACATCAGCTTTATAAAATGCACACCTCATTCAGTAGTTTCTCCTAAAGTAATGACCATACTTCTGCACCCTTCCAGAGCATGATAAAACATGCCCCTGTTACCTCCCTATATACTGAAAATAGCAACCAACTGAGATACAAAGCTCATATATAAAAGCATTAAGACAGCTTGTCACTGGTATAAACCTCTCTCTCAAGTTCTGCTCCAGAGCTCTCACAAGGCAAAGGCAAGAGTCCTCAGGGGTTCAAAAAGGCTTTAGAGGACACTCTTGGGAAACAGAGCAGTCTTATGGCAGCCATCCACCTCACTGCTATTTATTTTAATAGCTTGGTACGTCAGGAGCAGCATTTCCTTGCAGTCACTGCTATGATACATGAGTGAGGGCTGAGAAACCACCTATGCATGAGTCCACAAATGTGATGGACAATTCTTACTCTTATGGGACAACAGTTCACTCCAGGATTATATTTTGGGTTTAAGCTCACTGACCTGCCATGGGTTAGACATGCATCTTGCAGTCCCAAGCCATAGAAGTGACACAGAAGACCAGCACAGACCTCAGAAAACTGGTCTGGCATTTATCACCATAAGCAAAAGAAAAAAAGCAAAGGAGAAAAAAAATACATATATGTTTGAATGAGTTGGTACTTACTGTTATCATAGATGGGGTTGGAAATTAAAGGAGGAAGAGCTAACGTGTAGTTGCCATGTTCATCAGGAAGGAAAGCTTGGAAGCAGAGACGGACAACATTGAGATCGTACTCATCTATATTGTGCAGCTGCTCTTCAGGCACTGAACAGCAGAAGGAAAGACAAGACAGGATTAGTCAACAAAACCAACAATAATTCTTTAACAAACCAGGGAAGAATCTCCACTTGTAAAAGAGGTGGTGTTGCCAAGGCAGATAAAATGTTCCCATAGTCCCTGCTACCTTTACAGAGGCTGCATGTATTAATTCCTTGTACATAGTAAAGGCTACAGAAGCCTTTAATGCTTTTCCTTCATCAAACACGGCTAAACCATCCTAGTTCTCCAACTGTTTCTTGCCTCTGGTTTCCTCACCTTGCCTTCTAGACCATTTTTAATGTAGCTATAGTTTCAAAGCCATTCCCTGGGCATGTTTCTCATGATAAAATTCACTAAATGAATCTGTTGCCAAAGAGAAATCTTTCAATACAAGTTAAGCCCTAGGACATAGATGAAGATTTTCAGCAACACTGACAGACTTCTGCTATGTGGTATCTCTATTTTTCTCTAGAAACTGAGATGGAAAAATTATGAGAAGGCAGATCTTGGGGCAAGAATTAAGCAAAAACAAGACAAACCATCTCTTCCCTCCCATCAACACCTGTATTACTTGGATACCTTTGAAAATAGCGAGTAGTGGTGCCATTAGGATACAATTTTGCAATACAACAGGCAAACCCTTGCTGGACTTACATACTCCTTCCAGTGTAAAGCATAACCCAAGCTCAGCATTTCATTTTTGATCCCTCTTTGCCTCATTTTAATTTCAAGACCTCAGACCTGGGATATAATTTCTGAGCATTTAATGTACTCCTAGCTCAACAGGTGATTCTGGGAAAAGCTCAACAGGTGATTCTGTCTGAATTCCATGCTTTCCTTTAAGGTCCAACATTAACTATTATGTTGACATTCAGTGCTAGCAAAATGAGAAACTCATTTAATTTAATTTAAGTAGAAGTAGTGATAATGAACACAATTTTAACATGTCTCTCTTTTCCAAGCTGTTCAAAGTAGCAGTTCAGCATCACTAGATACTCCTTGCCACTGCCTAAAATGAACATGGGCCAAGTCAAGAGATCACAACCTCTCAAGTTCACTCTTTCCCCTGCCCTTTCAAAGGCCTCTTGCAAGCATAAAAGATTAAACGTGCCTGTGATAAGATGTTTGGGGATCACCCTGTACTGATTAGATTGCAATTCTTTGACCTTTAACATTTATTGCAGGGTTGGTCTCCACCCTGCTATGAGTGGGATCCCACAATGCCCACTTGAACAATTTATTCCTTTCACCTTTTCATAGTGTGAAATAATAAATACACTGAGCTCAGAATACTTTCCACTGGCATTTTCATGTCTTTTTTTGGTGTTCTGAATATCTGTTTCTCCTGGTCTCCGCTGTAAAAAGAAATCAACCACCCTTCCCTTTTAGAAGTCCAGCAGCAGCAATATTTCAAGACAAATACATCAGTGAGTACAAAACTAAGCAGCAACCACACATGCAACATCTGAAACATTGGTGCCCAGGGGATTTCTGCCAGTGTGCACTTTGCAAGATGGTGGCTGACTGTATTACCAGACATATACAGAAGTTTTGTAATTTGTGGCACTTCATTAGCTAACTTAACCTGCTAACTTAAATGAGGATCTGTAGACAACAGGTTTGGAACACAGAGCTGTTAATCATAACTCAGCTTTGACAGACTGTGCAGCCTAACTGCTTCTTGATGCAGTCTGACTCAGAAAATAAGAAACATGCATTTTCTCGATAGCACCTTGCAGAAGGGATAATGCAATGCTCCTGTGCTCCCAGTAGCTCAGCTGATTCTTCTAATCCATGCTCTGACATCACAGCCAGCAGGCAATTAGCTGCCGAGGATGTTCTGACATCAAGGCTTATGCCTGTGTGTTGTATTAGTCATTTGTGACTGTGGACTCAGCCAGAGACCCTGAGGAGTAGTGAAATTTTAAACCCCTTAAAAATTAAATTTAGCACAAAGATTGAATACTTTTGTTTAAGTCAACTTGTTTTAGGCAGAAGCCAAGCACAAAATCTGGATCTGGCTTTTGATTCTGAATCAAAAGTGAGGACTTCGTGGCTGGTGCAATCAAGTCTCTCTCTCCCTGGTTAAAGCAGCACCTGTTCTGGGCTGCATTTTCCATGGGCGCAGCAGCCTCTTCCTCAGAAACAAGTAACAGCCAACTTAAAGCCCAAGAGAACTCTATAAATGCAAAAATACACTAGATACGGAGAAAATTAGTAATGCTGATGTTTAAATTACATCATTTCCTATACAATGAACTTCTGCAAATTCCCAGTAAATCTGTTTAACCAGCTGACAGAAGAAAGGTAGGGTGTGCCAACAGTGGCAAGAAGCAGAATTGTTGTATATGGCTCATCGTACTACAGGCAAAAAACCACTGCTCTTAACTTGCATGTTCTTCTAAATTATTTAATACCATTAAAAAAATTTCTAGTTTGAAAGAGGAAGTGCTCAGTCAAGATTGATTCCTGTTGGGCTATTTTTAATCAGATGAGAAGAACATAACAGAGCAAAAAAGGAGAATGAGGCAGCTGCAGCTCCATCCTGCAATGGCAAAAATATAGAGAGGCTAGATTTCATGCTCATCTAAAGAAGCACACAATTTCAAAACACAATTCATTCCCACCTAAAATACAATCACCCAAACAAAATAAAATGTTGTTATTTTTAAGGAACATCTAATTTTGCTCCCTCTGAAGTCAACCGGAGAATAGCCACTAACTTGAATGGATGCTGGCTTACATCTTACGAATATTAAAAGCAAACGAAAATGGGGCAGACAAACACACCGACTCATGCCTGGAGCATGGCCCTGTGGAGGATGGTCGTGTCATTCAGTGTTACTTCACTGACTTCTGTACCCAGGGACAACAGACAGGGTTAAACCTGACAAACCTGAAGTTATTACAGTTAAGAAATGATGTTAAAGATTTGGGGAAGAGAAAGGACTGAAGACGAGCAGCCCGCTCCCTCGACCTGTGCAAGCTCCACACAAGCAGCTCTACTGAAGCAGAGACATTACACATATGGAGTAAAAAATACCCATCACATGATGCAGCATGTTGGGAGCAGATAGAGTAGAAAAAGGCTTGAACATGACACATGAATAAAAGAAAGCAATACTCTGCTCTTGGCAAGAGTTCAACTTCCTCTTCTGACTGCTCCTTGCCATGTGGCACCACACCTTACTGTCTTCATATGAAGCCAACCAAAAGAACTGGAATCCAACCAACAATCTTGGTATGTTCCTGTGATGGCCCGATCTAATTTAAAAAAATAGCCGTAACCTGCTAGAAATTGGTTTTCCATCTATGCAAACAGGAGCATATGAAAGAATGTTTGCAAGCATAGAGCTTTTACAAGGGGCAGGAGAGCTTTCAAAAGTAACACTTAGCAACTCAAACACATAAAAATCAACGTGAGATTTTAAAAGAAGTAAAATTCTAAGTTAATTACGGGACAAGCTGCCAAAAAATCCAAGAAAACACCACCAGCATAGTGGAAAATGAAAAGTAACCCCACTTACCAAGATTCTAGCAATAGAATTTAACAAACAATATCTAGAGTTAGAATCAAACCTGGGAGTATTAGCTAATTCAACATGAAAGGGGCTACAATGACTAGTAAATATTTTCTTTAAAAATCTGATTTACAACTCTTCCAAAAGAAATGTTGATTTCTCAACTTAAAAAATAGGTACTGTTGAAATAACTGTTTAAGCTGTGATCCACTATCACAGGAAGACACTAATATTAATGGGAAAAGACTGACAAGAATCCCAGTGTGGGCACAAAAACACCCCACACAAGCTAAACCACAAACTCCTTCCAACTGAAGTCAGCTCATCTGAGCAGTTCATGCAGCACAGGCACCAGGTTTGGGTTGTTCCTGTCTGAAATTTATGTCACCAAAGCCTTGCTGGGTTTCCACTGAATCAGAGAAATCCTTGAATTTGCTTCTGTTACACAAACTTGGAGATCTTCTGGGCTCAACCCAGATGCTGATTAAGATTAGGCCTCCTGTTTGTTCCTGTTTATTAATTAATTTATTTATTTTTTACTATATTAACAGTCTTCAACATCCAGAAAGGCCAATGAAATTCCACTTAGCTGATTAAATCACTGGGGGATTAAGGGCTCTGGTATTTACTCATATGGTGACACTACAGAGAAAGTGAAAGTTTATTCTGAACACTGAAGAGAAATGATAAAGAGTTTGGTTTTTTGACTGACAACATGACACCTGATTAAATAGCAGATTCCTCACGTACAGCCCTCCACCCAACTTCTAGACAAATGACGTCAGAAACTTCTAGAGTGGGTGGAGTTGAAGGTACTTCAGCATCTAAACTTAACCTGCATGGAAACTTCCAGGGCTAATGATGTGGTGTGACACTGAGTGTATCAGTCTACCCTGCAAAGGGACATCTTGTGACCTTCCCTCCTCAAGGAGGGGCCACGCCAGATCTCCAACAAAGAGAATGACCTCTCTCAAAAAAAAAACCACTTCACTAAGGAGGCAGCTGGTGAACACACATCATTAATAACCACCATGAGGTGTATTCTGCCTTTTCTCTTACGCAGGTGATGGGTTTTAATTTAGGCATATGCTGGGAGCTCAGTTTCATTTAAGTAATGACACAGTGGTGGTTTGCCTCAAAGCCTTTTGCTCCTGGAGCACAAAGACACCCCCAATAGTCCTGATACTGACTGATCAGTTTGACTTGGTGTGTGCCACATGTTTTGCTGTAAAAGGCTGGTTCTGCCCAACCTTCATTTCCAGCACAACTCTGATGCTGGGACTAGCTCTCATGTGGTGAATCAGATCAACTGGTCTGTCTGAAAAATAACCTGCAAGAAGAAAAGAGGAAAAGGCTTGTCTTAGGTCAGTCAGTTCCCTCAACCACTAGTCCTGGCCCAATGGAAATGGTGGAAGCAGACAGAGGCAGTGAAAGGAATGACTGTCTCTTCCAGTGCTGGTGCTGGTTTATGTGGGCTCAACCAGC